CTGAGATGCAATACAGTATAGATCAATTTTCTGCTGCTTGTGCTAATTTTGGTCTGATGATGAACACCAAGAAAACACAGGTGCTCCATCAGCCAGCACCACACCATCCATGTGTGGATGTTATAGCAAATGAAGAAGTTTTGAATGCTTTGGATAAGATCACTTACCCTGGCAGTAGACTTTTTTTTGGCTAGGCAATGAGGGTAAGTGACTTGCCCAGGGTCACACAGTTAGCAAATGTCAGGTGTCTGAAGCTGTATTTGAACTCAGGTCTGCTGACTCCAGGGCCAGTGCTCTATCCACTGTACCACCTAGCTGTCCCAGCAGTATACTTTCTGGAGATGTACACATTGATAACAGGTAGACACATGCATTGCCACAGTTAGCTCAGTGTTTGGGAGGCTCTGAAGGTAAGTGTGGGATAGAAGAAGTATTAGACTGACTGCCACACTGAAGGTCTACAGAGCTGTTGTGCTGACTTCATTGTTGTATGTCTATGAAACCTGGACAGTCTACCAGCACCATGCCAGGAAACTGAATCACTTCTATTTGAATTGTCTTAGGAAGCTTCTGGAGATCATCTGGCAGGATAAGGTACCAGACACTGAGGTCCTTTCTTGAACTAAATTGCCAAGCATTCAACTCTGCTTCAGAGAGCACAACTCTGATGGACTGGCCATGTTGTTCAAATGCAAAAAGTACACTTGTTAAAAAGACTATTTTGTGGAGAACTCACACAGGGTAAGTGCTCACATGGTGGGCAGAAAAAGTAATACAAGGACACTCTCATGGTCTCTCTTAAGGACTTTGGAATTGATTGGGCGACATGGGAGATACTTGCATAGGAACAGCCCTCATTAGAGAAGTTGCAGTCCTCCATGAGCAAAGCAGAATTAAAGTAGCTCAAAAGAAATGTGATATGCACCAATTTAGAGGTTCCACCCCAAATGTTCACATGCACTATTTGTGCCTGACCTGTGGTAGAGCAGCCTGAGCTTGCATTGGTCTGATCAGTTGGATGCACTGTAACTTGACTCTAACATTTTGGGCCTCTTTGAGAATGAAGGACAACAAACACCAAAGAGAAGAGGACCATTAACAGTGTCAGAGGCAGCAGAGAGGTCAAGAAGGATGAGGAATGAGAAGGGGCCATTGGATCTGACAACTAAGAGATCACTGGTAATTTTGGTGAGAGTAGTTTTGATCAAGTCATAAAGTCAGAAGCTGGATTGTAGAAAGTCCAGAAGAGAGTGAGAGGAAAGGAAGTGGAGGCACCTATTGTGGCCTCTTCAAGTAGTTTAAACACAAAAGGAAAGAAAGAGATGAAATAATAGTTACTGGAGATAGATGGATAAAAATGAGGGTATTTTGAAGATGGGGGACATGGACCTCTCTCCTTAATTAGGCTAATCTTCAGATAAAACACATACCTGTCGTTGGTGGTCTGAGCTTGAAGCCTACCTGGTAGGGTCTCAAATGCCCAGACCCACCTCTGCACCACATCAAGGAGTCATTGGGAGATTTTAGTGGAGGATGTCCTGGATTTTCTAGGGTAGTCTCAATTTCACGAACAGAGAGCGCGTACTTTTAAAAAAGGTTTTCATAAGGAATAGCCTTCATTCATCTTAGTTTGGTGTTCAGAACGTATTTAACAAGAGAACCTGTCCTTTCCTCCAATCTGTGCACAGTGTCCACCCTTCTTATTGTCTACCACCTCATGTCTGGGAAGCTTCATTAACAAGAGAAATGGAATTTTTAGACCAAATGTGTTACCAGTCACAAAAGGTGATTGTTGTTCGTCTTTCATTTTTAAAGAGGGCCAGTAAGGTCATGGGGTGATGTCTTGACTTACATGTGAGTTGGATTTAAGGGAGACAGAGGTGCACAGAGTTGTCAGCCTCACTCTCTCTTCCAGAGTCATCAAAGTCCAGTGGCAGAAAAAAAAATCGAGATGCCTGGTGATGGCTCAGGATGCAGTGGATGACCTTGGAGTCTTCGATATTTGATTGAGCTCTAAACACTCCATAGGACCTGCTTCAGCTTCCTTCGTGGTTGTTGGAACAAATTGTTTTCATCCACCCATTTAGCTGGAGGAAGTCCTCATATGCTTGGTGTAGAACCCCCCCAACTGGCTGATGGGTTTGAGACCTGTCAGTTACCCTCAACCTGGTTTAGCCCATCTGCCTGGATGGTTTTTTTGGGCTGTGGCCATTGCACATGCTGCAGCTTCTTGGAGTCACAGATGAGAATTGGGTGAAATATGGGCACCAAAGGTGGATGAGCAGCCCTGACAATGGCTCAGCGGCCCTCACATCAAAGGAGCTAGTCCTCTTTTAATACCCTATACACCACCTTAGTAAATACCTATTTCTAAAAGCTAATGATATCTGGCTGGCTAATTCACATTAACTGATACTTTGGAAGCCCACTGGTAGGGGCTTGGGAGTTACAGAAACAGCTTCCTCAAGACCTCAGGCTTATGTCTAGAACTCTGAGAGGAGGAATAGCCAGTCACTCCCTAGCTTCCCTACCTGGTCATACTAGTGGGAGCTGGAAGGCTCAGCAAGATTCTATGACTTGCCCATGATCACAAAGCTAGTTAGTGCCAGGGGTAGGATTTGAACCCAAGTTTTCTGGATTATAAAAATGGTACACTGCATTTCATGGCTTGTCTGTCTTTTGTACCAGAGGTCCATTGCACTGGGTGTCCTCTCTTTCTACCCCTACCCCTTCTAAGTCCTCCTTTACCTGATGCCAGAATTATCTTCCTCCTTCCTTGATTTGCTCATGTTGCTCTTCTATTAAAAACCTCCAGGTTTTCTTAGTTCAGATATTTATCTCAGACAGTCAAGACCTGGAATCCATCACTATCCTACTTTGCCAGTCTTGTCTCATGTGAATCCCTTTTGTGCTGCAGCCAAACCGGACAACTCACTGTCCCCTGAAACATGGCCTGTATTTTCCCATCTCCGCTCCTTTACTCATGACATTCTCTATGCCCAGAATGTCCTTCCTTCTCTTTGCCTGTTGAATCCCTCTCTGGTATGGATAGAGGGGCCATCCTTTGAAACTGAACTCAAATGCTGCATTAAAAGGTGATTAAGAGAAACATGTTTGGCACGTGCATGTTGGCATCAGGTCAACACAAGACTATGAGAGGCATGTGTGGGGAAAAGTACTGGATTTGGAGTCAGAAAAACAGTTTGAATCTCATCTTTGCTACTTTACTGGTACCAATGCTACTACTAGTAGTACTACTACTATTATTACTACTACAACTAATACCACCACTAGTACCACCAACTGTCTTATTTTCCTCTTCCTCCTTCTCCTAATGCTACTACTAACATTATTAATACTATTACTACTACTACTGCTGCGGCTGCTACTACCACTACCACCACCCACTACCTCTTTTTTCTCTTCCTCCTCCTTTTTCTTCTCTTCCTCCTACTACAACTACTACCACCACTGCCACTGCTCCTCCTCCTCCTGCTCCTACTGCTATTACTGCAATTCATTTCATCCTTAAAAAAGCTCTGGGGGGGATGATGCTTCCATTTTCCCTATTTTATAAATGAGAAAACTGAGGTAGACAGATTAAGTGAATTGCCTAGGATTACACAATAAGCATGTGAGGCAAGATTGGAACTCAGGTCTTTCTCACTCCAAGTCCAGTTCTCTCTCCACTGCCCACATAGGTATTACCTGCCTAACCTTAGTCAAGTTATTATGCCTCATTAGCCCTCAGTTTCCTCACATGTAAAATGAAGGATCACAAAATTAGAGCTGGAGGGAACTTACAGGTTAACAAGCCCAATGCTCTTGTGTTACAAATGAGAAGCCTGTGGTCCAGAGAGGACCAGTGATTTACATTCGCCCACACAGAGAGCTAGTTCAGTATCAGAGATGAGATTTGAACCCAGATCCTGAGGCTCCAGAGCCAGGGTTCTTTTCACTGCATCACACCACACTAGATGGACTGTGTGTGAGGTCTTTTCTAGCTCTGTGTTTATAGTGGCACAATCTATGCTTTGTGTCTTATCTTCCACCATTAGACTGTATGCTCCTTGAGAGCAAGGGTTCTTTTCCTTTTTTGCATCCACAGTGCCTAGCACAGTGATTGGCACAGAGTAGGCCCTTAATAAATGTTTATTGAAGTGAATCAACTATGCAAAGGAAAGGAAGGGATTAAAATAGACTTGGGTATGGGTAGTCCCCGGCTGCTCATTTCAGATTTTGTAACCTCCTGCCATAGTGGATTAGAGCACTGGAGCTGGAGTCCAGGGAGACCTGGATTCAAATCTCGTCTTTATTGCCTGCTGATCATTTGACCTCCCTAAGTCTCTGGCAGTTTCCCCAACACCAAGTTCTAGATAGGATTGATGGTATAGTTTTCCTCAGCAATGATACCACTGTATTTGGAATGCACTGCACAAGTATTTGGCTGAAAAGGCTTGGCCTTCTAAAACGTGTGTGATTCTGGCTGATACTGCACTGGTGTTCCCCCTTGTAGCAGGTAGCTTAGAGACATGTGGAGCCCGAGGTGCTCATGACAGCGGGGATCCTAGAGACAGCCCACAGGGAAGGTGAGTCAGCCCAGCTGGAAGCAGGGGGAGGGGGTTGGGGAAGAGTCTTTGGCCTGCTACCCCCCCTCCCCCTGTCAGCACTTGGGTTATTAGATTCAGTGATTTGACAAGCACTCATTTAACACCTACTGTGAGGAAGGCAGAAGTAGCTCTGAGACAGAAGCTTCTTCTCTAGGCAGGCTTGTACTATCAAAACCTACGTTCAGCTCTGAGATTTTGTGTGTCTGAGCCTTTCAGAGGAATGATGACAATTTGGAGGGAGCTGGGTCTGTTGGTAGGAGAGGGCAGAACCACGTTTCTTTCCCCTGTGTTCCTTTCCTCCCTCTCTTCCCCATCTTATTTGACCCATAAAGACAAATTTCCTTCATGCCAACAGCACAGGACTGATGAAAATAAAAAAACAAAACAAAATCCCAAACTGAACATTTTATTGATAGGTTTTTTCATATCACTTCCTAATAACTACCCTTCTCCTCGTAAGAAAGACTAAGTGTAAAACAAATCAAACCAAACGTCCCAACAACACCAGACAACAAGCGTGGATTCCACCTCTCTCCTGAGAGAAGGGAGGAAAGTTTCATCATCAGCCCTCTGCAGCTGAGGTTGGGAATTACATTAGATGCTTGGCCCAGAGCAAGCAATTAATAAAGGTTTGTTGATTGATTGCATCAATTCATCTGAATGCTGATGTCAAAGCAATACTATGTAGAAAAGGAAATGCAAAATGCTGTGGATTGGGGAGTGATGGCTTTGGAATTGCAGTTTCGAGGCCTTCTTGTTAATTCTTGCTGAGGAAGGGGAAAAGAAGCATTCAGCATTTAGGTTTATTCCCTTTACACAGGAAATTGGGGTAGTTGCGATATTTCACTTTGTAACTCTTCTGGTTTTTCTTCATACAGTAGGCAACTGTTCGATCACATGCACAAAGTTGCTTCTGACAGTAGTTCCCAGACCCTGTGAGTTCAGAGAAATGAATGAGTCGAGAGGGTTGATAATTTTCCCTACTGTTGACACCCTTCATGCTGCCCCACCAAGCTGAGCCCCTTTACTGGGTTCTTTGATGAAAACACAGTCCTTTCCCCACGGGAAGCCCCTTGTATGAGGGGAGAGTGCAAGCCTTTGTTTTCAGGGAGTTGGGAGTGGTGGCCTTCCTGACACCATTTTAGGGTGCTGCACATCTGGAGTGCTCAGTGATGCCTGACTGTAATGTGCTATCTCACCGCAGGTGATGGATCCACTCTTGTATTTGAAATTGTAGGCCTGTGTTTTGAGCTTGCAGCCTTTCTTCACCAGCTTTGAATAGCAGCAGTCATGGGCCAAACAGCACCTAAAGAGAGGAGCCCTGCTGAGTGCTGTCCCTCTCTCCTATTGGGAAGCAGGTGGTCAGCGAATAGGACACTCAGAGAGTTTTCTCATCTGTAAATGCGGGGATTGGACTACATGGTCTCTACGGTAATTTTTAATGCCAAATCTAGTTCTATTAATAGAGAGTCTCTGATTCTGAAAACTTACCTGGTCCCAGTCCTCCCTGTTACCTCTTCTGAAGGACTACAAGACATCTATAGAAAGACTCCAAGAAGTGCTAGAGAAAAACACTCTATAATTTTGCCCTTGAAGTGCATTTTTTTGGTGCCCCGGCCTTGTGCCCTTCCCATTAATTTGTGTCTCATGTCAGTGCTGCTTGTAGTGATTCTCAAGGAAGCTAAGGTAACCACCCTGGCAGGTCTGGGGAACAGCAGCTTACCTGTCAGTAGCATCCTTGGGGGTTCCTTTGCCTCCCCAGCCACAGTGGCACCCATAGAAGCCATAGTCAGTCAATGCTTTCTTCCCTGTGAGCTTCCCAATCATGCTGTTCAATTCCTTCAAGCCCCCTCGTACCTCAGGTAAGCCTGCAAGAAAGACCAGTGGTCCCCAGTCAGATGTGGCCACCCTTCTGGCTTCTCTCTCCACTACTGCTTTAGTCTGTCCTTCCCACCCTTCATCTGAGGGAGAATCTTGTCCTCTTTTGTCCTCCCTATTTTCCTTCCAGCCTCTAAGAAGAGGTGGTGAAGAATTAAATTGGGATTTGCAAGGTTCAAGGAATGGGGAGTGCTAGGGAGTCCAAGAGATGTTGGGGAGGCACTTATATGCAGTCCCTCCTGGGGCTGATTCCTGGGAAGAGGTCAGTCATGTGGTCACTTCTTACCACAGGCCATTAGTACAGCTAGCAGAAAGATGGTCTTCATTTTGAAGCCCCTGTAGGAGAAAGTATAAACCTGATGTCTATCTCCTCAGGTGAGGTCCTCACATTCCTGCTTTATCCCTGGGGCAGTCAGGCCAACCTGCCATCTGGGAGGGGAGAATAGGTCCTTACTTTTATTGGTAGGGACCACAGGAACCATATATTGCAACCTTTACCTGATCAGGAGATCCTTGTATGAAATTTCTATTGGCACAGAAGCATATTACCCAGTCACCTCACCCCTCCCGTCAGCCCCCATCCCTGTATTGGTTACACAAATGCACAATTTATGTCCTCTAAACAAACACGTATTGTAATTCAGGTACAGAAACAAGCACTCAGACTACCTCAATTCACAGACATTAAATACTCGTGGCCACTGAAATGTAGAGACAAATCAATGCATACAGAATATTACTGGCACAGAGAAATGTACTCAGACCCTTTAAATAAGGGGTTCTTAACCTTTTTTATGTCCTGGACCCTTTTGGCAGTCTGGTGAAACTTATGGACCCATTCTCAGAATCATGTTTTTTGATGCATAAAATAAAATACGTAGGATTCTAAAGGAAGTCATATTAAAACAGTTATCAAAATATTTTAAAATTACGAATTCATAGACACCAGGTCAAGAAATACTTCACACTCTAAACATACCAACTAATAGAGAATCACAGAAACACAGACACATACTCTCTGTCTTTGCTAAAGGTAATCTGGTCTTTGGGGCTCCAGATGCCTTCAGCTGTTTTTTGGTTCAATTTGTCCACTGTAGGGTTCTTGAGCCTAAATGGTCCTCAAGGCTGAGAAGCTCCATATATAGATCCAGGAGGACTCTAAGGGGGCTGAGAGTTGCCACCCCCTGGGGTAGGAATTCCCGGAAACCTGCCCAATACACATTGCAAGAAAGGGTAGAGCCAGAGTCTGCTCTGGGAGTTCACAAGATGCTCCACCCAGAGGGGTGGTAGCCTCTTTTGATGGCATTATAGGTGACAGGCTGAGTGCTGACACTTGGTTGGGTTAAATTCAGGGACTTTGTGTCCCAGGGATGGTTAGGGGCCACACTCACCTTCCAACTTAGCATGCTGTGTTCTGCCTCAGAGTTTGGATTGTGGCCACTGACAACTCTGTAAACATTTACCAGACTACTTACTTATAACAAAGACACTTTCACTCATTCAGCACTGCAGCCAAGTGTGCACTCTGTACAGAACCATATATGATTTGTTTTGGTTATAGTTGGGTGGGGGGCAGAGAGAACAGCAGAGAAAGAGGCAGAAGGGTAAGGCAAAAAACAGAGTTTAGAAAAAGGATGAGATAAAGATCCTGGACATTTGTGTTAAATGTGTTAAAGGTGTTGTCAATAGGGAACCACTGAAGTTTATTGAGTAGGGAAGTAATTTGGTTAGACTGTGCTTTAGAAACATCACTTTGGGAGTTTCATGGAGGACAAATTAGACAGAGCAGAGATGAGGCAGGGTGACCGATGAGGAGGCTACTGCAATTGTCCTGTTCAGAGATGAGGAAGCTCTCAATTAGGGTGGTGGCTGTGAGAGTGGACAGAAGGAGTACTTTAGTTTCCTTATGTGCAAAATGAGCTGCAGAAGGAAATAGCAAATTACTCTAGTATCTTTGCCAAGAAAAACCTAAATGGGGTCATGAAGAGTTGGACACATCTAAAACAATTGAACAACAACAAGAACTTTTAGAACTATATCAAATGGCAAATCACTCTAGTATCCTTGCCAAGAATATCCAGATGGGGTCATGAGGAGTTGGACATGGCTGAAAAATGATTGAACAATAATAATTTCTTCTTTGACCCACTCATTACTTAAGATTTCATTGTTGTCTCCATTTGCGTCTGCATCTTTGGTATATGGTCCCTGAACCAATTTCTACTCTTATTACGTTGTAGTGTGTAAAGGATGAATTGACTATTTTTTCCTTTTAACATTTATTTTCAATATTTCTGTGCCCTAGTACATGGTCAATTTTTGTAAAAGTTTCGTGTGGTACAGAGAAAGATTTTTTTTTCTTTGCTGTTCTATTTAGAAGACACCATAAGTCTTTTTAGCTTTAGTTTCTCCAGAAATTTCAATTCACTTCCGTAGTTTACCTTAAAAAAAAAAGACTTTCTGCATGACTTATCTAAACTAGGGTTTATATAACTCTTTAAGGTTTGTAAAGTGCTTTACATATTACATGCAAGTGCTTTATAATGCTCAATTGATCTTCACAACAACTTTTGAACGTTGGTGCTATTACTATTCCTGATTTATAGATGAGAAAACTGGGGTGCAGAGAGGTTGAATGACTTGTACATAGCCAGTGTCTGATGTAGGATTTGAACTCAGATCTTTTTGACTCCCAAGTCTATCTACTACTGTACCTAGCTGTCTTGACCCATCTATTAACTTGAATTTTGGAGTCCCTGAGGATGGAGAACTGGCAGATACTCACAATCGGTATAACTGTTGGCTAAGATAGAAACTAAAAGAACTTACGACTTAGGATGCCAATTAGAATGTTTAATTAATTAAATTAATTAAATAAATAAATTATAAAATTAATAATAAATAATTAGTATGATGTCTGAATTCATTGTCAAGACCTTCAACAAAGGGATAGGTTCGCTTGGTGTTCATAGAAACCCAAGTTTGCAGATTGATGGAAAGGTTCTTGATGCTTAGTTGTAGAGAGCCTGCAGACAAGATAGCCCCCAGTATTAGAGGGGGCCCTGCAAAGACAATGGAGCGTAAGAACTCATTGCCTATAGGTGAAGTGGTCAGAGTCCCTGATGATTTTAACTCGGCAGAGACTGTCAAGCCCAGTGCCATGCAAGTCAAGCAAAGACTGAACCATACAGTGGTTCAAACATTGACATTTCAAGGGACAAACATGCTGTGCACCATACCCCAACTATCCATTTAAATAATGGAAGAAGACCAAATCCAGTGGTAGTGAGGTGATGCAATGGATAGATAATTGGACCTGGAGTCAGCAAGATCTGAGTTCAAATCCAAACTGTTTTAGAAAATAAAGATACTGAGTCACATCCAGACAATTTATTTAGTAAGGGAGGTGATTGCAGAAACAAATTGGGTCCAAGACTCTCGGTTAGCAGAAGAACCCAGAGGATCATGGTTCTTTGATTTTATACGATTTTTACATAGCACAACAGGAGACCAGGAATGCATCATCCAAGCTGTGATTAGATTGGGGCATGCACTGATGTCTTATGAGTGGGATTTTTTGTAGAACACGTTTGAAGGACATGAGACTCCAAGACGACAATGTTTAAAATGAAACTTATAGTCACAAAATTGAAGGCTGGTCAGAAAATTGAGTCTCTTTGTTTTAATAAAACACAGACAATTAATAATTATGTGACCCTGGGCCAGTTACCCTTTTCTCTGTTCCCTTATGTGTAAAATGAGAATAATAAAGGCACCTACCTCCCAGGGTTGTTGTCAGGATCAAGTGAGATATCTTTGCAAACTAATACTATATAATACAGTGTATATATCTATGTGTGTGTATATATATATATATATATATATATATATATATATGTATATATATATATATGTATATATATATATATATATATATACACACACACACACACACACACACACACACACACACTATATAAATGTTAGCTATTAGGACTTGAGCTGTAAAGACACAACATCTAGCTTGAAATAACACTGCAGGCTAACCTGGGCCCTCTACAAGTTCAAGTTTAGGTAGATAGAACTATATTTTGATGAGGATTACAGTTACCATAAGCTAACTCATGTATAATGGCAGATGGGTCAGCATATTTCAGGAGAGCTAGGCATGTTTAACCAGTGCCCAGTCTAACTTACAATTTCTCAGAAGAAAGTAGAGGAGTGGCTGTACACATCCCCTGATGATAATACCCTGCGAAGGACTAGGACTCTCATAGCTCTGAGCTGGGCATGGTTGCAGAAGCACTAGTGCTGGGAAGGCTTCCACTAAGCTGGGAGTTTTTGGCCTCAGCACTGAGGCAGGAGAGGCTGGTTGTGGCAGTGGTGGCAAAGGCAGTGTGCTTCAAGGGAGCAGGGACCCAGAATGGGATCTGGAGCTGGAGACTGGACATGACTGGAGACCAGAGCCTGTGGGGCTGGGGTCTGAGCATTGAACCACAGTAGCCTATGGAGGCACTGCTTGAGACCCTTAGGTTGAAATTTCCCCTGCTTTCAGGGGCCAGAATATGGTGATGATGGATGACTTTCCAGTTGGAGGGATAGGTACTAGACTGTGAAACAGGGCCACACCTTCCTTCTCCTTCCCCTCTACTTAAGTAGGGCAGAAGCTGATTCCAAAGTTTATTCTGTCCTACAAAATTATTTTTCTAATTTCTTTTAAAGTAAATTTTTTGCTGCCTAAATAAAACCAATTGTTCTAATTCCTGTCTATCTGTATGTTGACTTATTTGTGAATAAGGAGGAGCTGTGATAGGGAGGAACAGTGTTCAGGAACTGGCATAAAGAAAGAACAAGAGTTTGAGCCCCAGTTCCCGAAAGCACCAGGCTTTCTTCTGCCTAGGATCTGGTTTTGATTTATTGGTAATGTTTTGATAAACTTTCTAAAAGGCAGAACTAAATTGAAGCTGGGGTTTTCCTTTTCCAGACTGAAAAACAAGTTATTGTCTTTGTATGAGACTAGCATATTGGGATTCATGTCTTCATTCTGTGCATAACCAGAGTCATCTCTCTGTAGAAGAAGGTCTAGGGTGGTGACTCAAAAATAATTTAGTAAGACCCTAAACTGGGAGTGGGAACTCCCCAGTGGGAAAAGAGAAGGTGTGGCTAGATATTACTGGAAATAACCAGATTCCAAAGGTGGGGCCAGAAGAGGGAGTGGGTTATTTCCCACTTTAGCTTCATCCCCTAGCTCAGGGCAGGGAAAACTAAATCAGACTCTATAATTCCTCTTTCTTATCATAATCTCCTGTGTTCCCTTCTCTCTTCTCTTGCCTCAT